TTTGTGAATCTCATACAATTACATTTTTCAGTCCTACAGCAATGTTCTTCTTTAGAATATGACAAAAAAGTTGATCTGGATTTTATCAGAAGACAGGCCTTGTGCTAGTCAAATGAAAGATACAAGAAGGGAGCATTTTGCTCAATAGGAGAAACAACCTTTCGCACATGAAATGGGTCTGAGGATTGGTCAGGGTTTGTTAGAATGCAAAAGGGCTCCTGAGGGTCAGCTGTCACAGATGTTAATGGGCATCATCTGGGGCCTGGGCTAGGTTAGAGTATTCTTAAGATTCTAAATTCTATGCGCTTTAGTTTTCCCATGACAACCTCTAGGATCACAGACATTTTCATATGAAGATGAAATCAAGCAACTCTTCTTCCAGATATGTTAATATTTCATAACTTTGTTAGCTTCAGCTCAGACTAACAACCAGAAGCCAGCTCTTAATTGCTTTTGTCTAATTATTTATGAAAATTTAAATATTCTTAGCATTCACCATTTAAAAATAATTTCATAAGTCATTTTAGAAGTGAGCAAGAAATAAATCATAATAGAAAAGCAGGCATTTTAATAATTCTGAGGAAAAATTACCATTTTTCTTTAAATTGTTTATCTTAATAGAAAGTAGGAAATGTGTGAAAATATCTACAATTGTTAATGCCATGATGGAATCTATAAACCTGTAAGCATGGGATTTACACGTATCTCATATGTAATTTAATTCTTTACATGTACAAATTCTTTGAGCAATACCTACATCAATGCAAAATTATGCTATGAAATACTGAGGCAATCTCAAATTTTATTTAATCCAAAGCAAGTGTAACTTGTTTTTTTAATATTCAAGTTTTATGGTAAAAAGACAATTGGATAATCCTCTTCCCAAGCATCTAACAGCTGGATATGATGCCAACAGGTGCACATAGCTGATTAGATACCTATTTACACCCACTGTGATGGCTAAAATAAAAAAGATGACAATAACAAGTATCCATAAATATGTGTTCACAAATATTGGAACTCACATTCATTGCTAGTGGGAATGTAAAATGGTGCAGCTGCTTTGAAAATAGTTTGGCAATCCCTTAAAATACTAAACATAGACTTCCCATGTGACTGGGCGATCAGGGAGAACGGCAGTCAGACAGAGCCCTATCATCCCACGGTGACCATGTACATGCGCAGTGCTGTGCGCTCTACATCAGAGGCTTAACACTGCAGAGAAAGACTTCACTAAAAATGTCCAACGAAGACACTCAGTAAATAAACAGGCAAACAACAAAAACATGCCCTGGGGTTGGGAGTAGTCAAGCAAAGCGCGGGCCCAGAACTTCGAGGGTCCCTCGACATCTGGTCTCCGCTAGGCCCGCTGCGCTGAAGGGAGGGCGGGGCAAAGGCGCCCGGAAAGGGTCGGCGAACCTAAGTACAGAGGGCGCCGCTGGACCGCGCTCTCCCGGCGGCGCTCGCGTTCCTACTGGTTGTTTAATAAGGCGGCGGCGGCGCCTGCAGCTAGTACGCACCCGCCGGACTTTCGTGTTCGGCGCGCCCGCCCAATGGCTGCTTGCGCCGCGGCGCCGTGCGCTCATTGGCCGTTGGGGTCGCGCGCAGACTACGTAAGTTCGGCGGCTGCGTATTAGCTGCAGGCGCCGCCGCCCGCCGTATTCAAGTCAGTAGCATCGCGAGCGCCGCTCGGAGAGAAAAGTGTCGCGGCTCGCTCCGTTTTTCGGTCCGCTGGCCCTGTCCGGCCCCCCGTCCCATCCTCTCAGGGGACCCCACGGAGACCAGATGTTGATGGACCGTGAAGTTCTGGACCCGCGCTCTGCTTGGCTGCGCCGTCCTCCCGGCGCGCATGTGGGGGCGGCACCGACCTCGCCCCCGGCCTTCGCCCCCGCTGGGCTCCCGGCGCAGCCCTCGCCGCTTCTCGGCTCTTCCGCGGAGGGCGGCGATCGGCCCGGACTTGGAGCCGCTGGCCCGGCCGGATTTCAGAGACCTCGGCTGAGAAGCTCGTCCCGCTCCCATGGATCTGCGGTGGAGGGTCCAGAGCGGCCCCCGCTTCAGGGGTGAAGTCGACAGCGACGGCTCTGCGGGCTGGAAGGTACGTGGCCCCGGGGCGCGGCGGGACCCGGACCGGGCGCGGGGACGCCTGCCTCCGTCTGAGGGCGCGGGGGAGCCGGACGAGGGGGCGGCCGTGCGAGTGGCTCGGCGTGCAGCTCGTGGCTCGCGGAGCCGGGAAGCGGCCGACGTGGGTGGTGGGCTTGCGGGGCCCAGCCGGGGGCCGGGAGTCAGCGCGCTCCGCCTGAAGGGCCGCCCGGGAAGGGAGGGAGTGGAGCAGGTGCTCCCGGGGCGGACGTCCGAGCGGCTGGCGAAGTTCGCCGGAGCCGCTGCTCCTCCGTCCGGGCCTGGGTGGTGAGGGCGGCTGCTATGCGCCCCGCGGCGCGCGTCCTCCCGGCCCACGGCCGCGCCGCCGACCTGCTACCGCCGCCGGGCCGCGCAGACGGGGAGGCCAGTGGGCGTTTTGCCTTGTGTGGATTTTATCGGCGCGGGCCGAGGGTGAGGGCCGGGCGAGCTGAGGTTCAAATGTAACCCGCGGCGGGGCGGCGGTGGAGACGCCGTCCGGAGGCAGCGCCTTTAAAATAAAACATTTTTTCGTGAGGTACTTCTCGTATTTTTTATTTGGGAATGAAGTTTCTTTACTTTGATCTGGGAACTGACAGTGTATTTGCTTGTATTTAGAAATTCATGTCTTTCTATCATTTCGGTTTGTAATGTGCAGCTGAGTAATTTGTAACTAGCCACAGAGATTCTGACAGGGACCGTGGGTAGTCAGAGTAGGGTGAGAGCCTCTAGAAAAAGACCCCTACCAAAACAACGTATTAAACAAAGTCAGAGTCACATTCTCTAAAGTAAAGTATCAAACTGGGAACATTCTTCAGTGAAGATTAGTTAAAACTAAAAAGCCAGGAGTAACCTGGCCTGGAATGTTTGAACATCCCCCAGATAAGAAAGTATCTCAGCCCAGCCCATGTCTTCATGTGTCAATTAAGTGAGGCTATTGTAAAATTTACTTTAGCCTGCTAAAAGGCCCAGTTTATCTTTAACTTTGCCGAAATGCTGCTTTTCCTCCTCCAGCCCCTAATCAAATACTATATAACTTGGACAATTGATATGGCAATAAGCCCAGCCACAAACAGTATAGTAAAAGGCAGGAAGGAACCCATCTTAAAGATAAGATTGCATTTTAACACCCAGGAAGTTATTCTTAACTTCCTCTATAGCAAACAGACAAGACCTCAGCCCACCTTTGGAGAACCGTCTGGAGTGGTGGAGGAGGAGGGGGAGGTGTAGGTGGGTGGGGGCTGAGCAGCGTTCAGAGGGGTCGCGCGATCAGGGTTTGGAAGACTGGGTGCTGTGTTTACAGGTGCCTGCTGCTAGGGCAGCCCGCGTGTGTGTCAGTCCCTCAGTCCCAGGTCTGAGTCACCTCCTGTGTACAAAACCAGTTTTCATACTAGTCTTTATTTTGTAAAAGAATCCCCTACAGGATCCCTGAGAATGGCGAGCTCCTTCCACCCCATTCCCCGCAAGAAGGGTAAAATAAGGTTGATAGGTTACATTCCCAAACACCCCGACTTAGGAAGCACCCACTGTACGCTCGTGAGAAGCCCCAGGAGGGCAAAGTTTGCAGCTATGTAAGGCATTGGGAGAATGGGGGCAGTGTACGTGTGTGTGTCTGCCCTCAGGTGTTCTGAGCCCTGCTGGGTTCCTGACAGGCTGTGTGGCCTTACCTCAGTCCCTTTTCTTCTTTGGGCTAGTGACTAAGTTGGACTAGATGGTCTCTTGCAGTCCCTGCCTGCCCCGACTCTTGAGAAGTGTGTTTGATAGAAGTTTCACAGAAGTGGTGAGGGCTTTCAGAAATTGGAACTGACATGAGGAAAGAGTTCAGCCTTACGTAGAGACCTTTGTCTAGAAAAGGGCATGTGTCTGTAAAGAAATGGGAGGCAGAATCTAAGGCTGGGGATCAGCGCCCACCTCTGAGAGCCAGACAGATAGTAGGTGTGAATGTACTTGTGAGTGGTTGAGTGCTGTGCCAACATTACTGAAGCATTGTTGCTGTTGTGAAAGTCCCTCCCCCTCCCTACAATAATTTTACACCTTTCTTCCATCTGCCTCTCTGCTGTGCTGAGGCACCCCACGAAGAAAACTAGCACTGACAGGGGGTTGTGGAAGCTACAGGAGGCTTTGGCATGAAGCCTGGACTCCGGCTACCAAGATTTTCCCAGAATATTGTTTCTGCTAACTTAGTTCGAGTTCCTAAATTTTTGTTGTATGCCATCTTTTGTTTTAAATTTTGGTATCATTAATCTGCAATTACATGAGGAACACTATGTTCATTCGACTTCCCCCATCACCAAGTCCTCCCACATACCCCATTACAGTCACTGTCCATCAGCATAGTAAGATGCTATAGAATCTACTTGTCTTCTCTGTGTTGTACAGCTCTCCCTGTGCTCCCCCGTACATTATGTCTGGTAATAATAATGCCCCCTTATCCCTCCCTTCCTACCCATCCTCCCCAGTCCCTTCCCCTTTGGTAACTGTTAGTCCATTCTTGGGTTCTGTGAGTCCCGTCTTTTATTTTTCATGGATGTTGCACAGAAAGGGGAGTGTGGGATTGATGTGCGCGCTCCGTCGTTGGGGGGTTGGAGGCAGCGCCCGAGGGGGGCGGGGTCTGCCTGCAACTAACGCTGCGCATGCTCGTCCGGCCGGCCAGCGCCGCCTACTTCTGGTGCCCGCCATGTTTCCTTCTAACTGCGTGGTGACCTGCAGTAGAGACGGAAGCTTCCTGCCTGAGCCCCTCCGCCGCTCACCTGTGCCTCCTGCTCACACAGTCCCTCGTTGGCTGCTGCCCCGCCGCCGCCAAGGCCTCCTCCCTCTGATGTTGCCGTCGCCAGCCAAAGCCCTGCGCCGCCGGCCGGAGCCCTCCAATAGTAGCCGCCCGCGGCTGCCTCCCGCTGGCTCCAGGGGCCCACCTGACCAGGGACCCTGCGTCTTCTTCCTCACTCAGGCATGTCCTTGTAGCGGCAGCTCACCCATAAGCAGCCACCCCAGGGGGTGGGCGGAGTCGGCTGGGGAGGGATCGGGCGGGGAAGGAGTCTGCTGCGGGGAGCTGCGGCTGGGGCTCCTCAGCGGCCGGGGGCGGAGTCCAACCCACTGTCTGCAGGTGCGCCGTGAGAGGCGGCAGAGGCAGCAGCAGGGAGCAGGGTCTGCAGTGGGTGGCAGCGTGGACGGGTTGGGCTCCGTGGTGGGCCGTGGCGTCTGCAGCGGCGGGAGGCGCGGGTGTCTGTTCCCGAGGTGGACTTCTGAAGCTGCCGTTGGCAGGTGCGCAGCCAGAGGCGAGGGAGAGGTGTTGGCGGCGTTGGCAGTGGGAGGGTAGCATCCATGGCTGGCAATGGCGTCGGTTGGGGGCGGTAACTGGTGGTGGTGAGCGACAGTTGGTGGCGGCTGACCGTGTCGGTTGGTGTCGGTTCCGGGGGCGGAGGGGCAGCAGCGTAAGGGGACGGAGTCTGCCCACAGCTGATGCCCAGCATACTCCCCCCACCAGGCAAAGCCAGTGGCCTCCGACACTGCCGGGGGACCTCCTGTGCTCCCAAACGGGTCAGCGCGGGAGTCCAGGGAGTGTGTCATGGTCCCGCCGGCCAGCACCACCTACTTCCGGTGCCCGGCATGTTTCTTTCCAACTGCACATGGTCTAGTGGTGAGTGCATCCCTGTGGTGTCAGCTGCCCTCCTCCATGTGTGTATGCTTGTGGTAGCTCTTGCACGTGTGGTGGTGTGTGTGTTAGAGCACTGTGCGGCCTGGGACAGTGTTTGTGTCTCTGGGTGCCTATGCCCTAGGAGAGCTTGAGAAAGGCAGCAGGCTTTCCATAACTGCCTAGTGGAGAAGTCAGGTGGGGAGACTGGGGCAGGCTGCTGGGGAGATTGGCCTCAGCAGGTAGGCCCCTGGAACATGCATAGGCCTAGGTGAGAGCATCCTTCTCCACCCCCTTCCACTTGGCAGGTTGCCTGCAAATCAGGGCTTCTTCCCCTGTGACCCACTCTCCCTGCCTCCGAAAAGCCATCTGCTAGTGGACTGTCCCTTTTTAGTGGGGAAGCCCACTGGGTCAGGTTCACCCTCTTTGTGACATTTTTGTTTTTCCTGTAAGGTCTTCATGGGGAACAACTTTGTTTCTCTGAAGTCAACTCATGAAAGTTCTACTTGATCCATTTCTGCAAACATCTGCTGTTCCTTAACCTCCAGGATCACACGAGGCAGGTAGAATTCCTTTTAGCATCCTTAGGAAGCCACCATTCAGTGCCCTTCCTCATCCCTTAGCATGACAGAGAACACAGCTGTTCTCTGAGAAACCTCCCTCCTGCTTTCCATGGTGGCTGCATCAACTTGGAGCCATTGTCCCACCAGCATTCTGTGTCTCCACATCCTTGCCAGCAACTGTTATTTTTTTGTTTCTTGGATTTTGTACATTCTGACTGATGGGATGTGACATCTCATAGGGTTTAGTCTTGCATTTCCCTGATGATGAGTGATATTGAGCATCTCTTGGCCATCTGTATGCCTCCTTGACAAGTCTTTGAAGTAGGTGAGGGGTGAGAAAGTGAGAATATTTGATATCTTGATCTAGGTGATGGTGATGTGTGTACATATGTCAATTCATTGAACTTTACGATTTGTGCATTTTATTGTATGTATTTTGGTGTAAAGTTTTATAAGAGCAAAAATTCTGGTCCTTTGACAAGTGTCAGTGTTGGAGAGACACACTGTGTATTCTGGCACTCTGTGGAGGTGAACTCAGGCTGCTTTAATATACATACATCTGTGGGTGTAGGAATGGGTAGTTTCTTTTCAGCCGTCTACGCAGGCTACTTAGTGAAGTGGTCAGTCCTGCCTGCTGATGCAACTCACTCTGGTACATGCTATTAGAAAATTAATAAATAATGAAGAACAGTATAGGAGTTAAAATTTTGTTCCATGGTGCCATCAAAACAGAGAGTAGCTTTGGGACAGAGGTAAGGAGGCCTGAAGTGCACATAAACCCCTAGCCCCCCTCTCCTTGGCTTTACTTACAGACCCTGATGGGCACCGTGAAGCCCAGCCAGAGGGTCAGTTTCCTGGGGTAAACGTCAGGTAGCATCAAGTTCATTCTCCCTCTAGGCTTGTGGCTCCCACGGCCTTAGCCTGAGTTGAGAAGGGCATGCCATGGAAGTATAAAGGACTTAAGACCTATAATTTAACTTTGACAAAGTTATATAAATTTTACTCATACTTTAATAATTGAGAAAGAGGTTATGATACTGGTTTGAAACCATTTTTTGGGAGTTTGATTCCTTGTTTGCTTAAGTTTACAAAGGCAGACTCCTCAAATGTATGGTAAGGTGGGGAGCAGCTGTGTAATCATTCAAGATTAGTATTAGTTCTACCATATGCACCTCTCATTTAGAAGCAAAAGCTTCTCAGATTATAAAAATTATAACGGCACTTAGTGAAATAAAGGATCCTATGGATGACACAGTATTTCATGTTGTGTAAGCATCTGGGTAATCAGAATAACGTGGTATTCCTGAACGTCTGAGAAAATGTTGAGGAGAAAAAATTATATTAACACCCACAAATATAATTGTAAAGTGAATCTTTGCTCATGTAGGGTTGAGGGTGTATCCTGAAAATACAGGAAATCAATGTACAAATCTCCCGATAATAGCAGAAACTGCACCTATGGAGAGCACATAATAAAATGGGCTCTACTACATAGTAAGTATCATAAAGAGCAATATTAAATGAGGAATTAACTAGTACAATACCAGTTAAGCCCCCTACTGTAAACAAGAAAATAAAGCTCAGGGCCCATAATATAGCTGGGGATCATTTTACATTTCTGCCATGCAGTTGCTAATCAACTGAATACTTTCACATCTGTTGAAATTGCAGTAATTATACTGGCAGATGTAAAACAGCCTTGTGTATCAACATCTATGCCTACTGTAAATATATACGTTCATATAATGAAGCCTAGAAAGCCAGTTGACATTATTGCCCAGACTATGCCCATATACCCAAAAGGTTCTTTTTTCCCAGAATAGTAGGTTACAATATGAGAGATGATTCCAAAGCCAGGAAGGATTAAAATATGTACTTTGGGGTGACCAAAAATCAGAATAAGTGTTGATATAAAATTGGATCCTCTCCCCCAGCAGGATAAAAAAATGTATTTAGGTTACGATCTGTTAAAAGCATAGTAATGCTGGCAGCTAGAACAGGGTAGATAGAGACAGTAGTAGGTGTATGGCTGTAACTAGAACTGATCACACAAATAGTGGAGTTTGATATTGGCTTATAGTGGGAGGTTTTATGTTAATAATAGTTGTGATGAAGTTAATAGCCCCTAGAATTGATAAGATACCTGCTAAGTGAAGAGAAAAAATAGTTAAATCCACTGAGGCCCTTGCATGTGCTAAACTACCTGCTAAGTAATTTATATGCTTCAACCGGTTCCAGCCCCTGTTTCAGCTGTAGAGGATGCTAGGAGAAGAGGAAAGGAGGGAGGGAGGAGTCAAAAGCTTATGTTATTTATATGGGGAAATGCTATGTTTGGGGCACTAATTATTAAAGGCACCGGTCAGTTTCCAAAGCCCCCAATTATAATAGTATCACCATAAAGAGAATTATTAAAAAGGTGTGCATGGTTACACTTACATTATAGATGTGGTCACCACCTAAGAGGGTCCCAGGCTGGCCTAGTTCAGCACCATAAGGAGGCTTAGAGCGGGTCCCACTATTCCAGCTCAAGCGCCTAAAAAGGTATAATGTGCTGATGTCTTTGTGATGAGTTGAAAATAATCAACGATTGATGAACATGGGTAAGGTGGCTGAATAAAAGTATTAGACTGTAAATCTAAAGATAGAGGTAAAGTCCTCTTCTTGCCAAGTTCTGAGGTGTTTTACATACTGAATTGCAAATTCAGAGAAGCAGGTTCAATTCTGCCGGGACTTCTCCCGCCACCTTTTTTTTTCTCTTATGGCGGAGAAGTAGATTGAACCCAGCTGATTAGGGTTTTTAGCTGTTAACTAAATTTCATGGGTTTGTATCCCATCAATCTAGTGAGGATTTAGCTTAATAAAAGTGTTTGATTTGCATTCAAGTGATGTAGGATGCAGTCTTACAGTCCTTAGGATTAAAAGTTAAGTGTTTTATGCTTGCATAGAGCTTTGAAGGGTCTTGATCTATGTAACCTAAATTTCTAGTTTAGAATTGAAATGGTTGGAATTAGTGGAAGTATTGTGGATAGAATAATTAGGGGTGGGGCTAATTTTATGTGTTTTGTAGTTTCAAGTAGTCACTTTTATGTTGTTGGTTATTAGGAATATTGTTAGTGTTGTGGAGTAAATCAGTGCATATAAAAACATAAGTTTAGTAGAGCTATCACTGCTATTATTGGTAATATGTTGTTTCTGCTAAATTCTTGAATGATCATTCAACTGGCTAATGGTGGAAGGCCTCCAAGTATAGTTAGGATTGTGAGCATAATGGTTGTAATTAGCAGTGTCTTATTTGATAGATGAGACAAAGATAAGGTTGTTGTCGGTGAGTTGTATACTAGCATTATGAATATTGATAGGGTCATTATAATATAAATTAGATTTAGATTAGTAATAGTTGGATTATATGTTATTATTCAACCTATGTGGGCAATTGAGGAGTAAGCTATAATTTTTTGTAATTGTGTTTGGTTTAGACCCACTCAGCCTCCAATTAAAAATGAGTGTTGCTTATAGGTATTACCAAGTTTATGTTAACTGTGGGTGAAATTTGACATAGAATTGAGATGGGTGCGATTTTTTGTCGGGTTAATACTAGTATGCCCTATGACAACAGGGTTCCTTGTGCTACTTCCAGAACTCAGAAATGGAATGGGGCTATTCCCAGTTTTATGGCTATGGCTATGGTAATGATGATAGATAGCATGGTATCATACATTTTTGTAATAGCCCATTGTCCAGAGAATGTGAGAT